ACACAACTACCAAATCTCTCGACACACGCTCTAAGACAATCTCATCGATTCTTTTTATTGATTGCCTTCGTCTCCGCCTCGTTCCGTAGCTGTCCGCCGTGATTGCGCCACCTCCCGGACTCCTGCGTTGTCTCGGCTTCAAACTCCAAACGCGCGAAACTCAACCCGAGTTGAAAATTGCCTTGTGACGAATTACTTCGTCACAATATATACATAATATATAAATAATATACATAATAATTAGACTAAAGGATAACTATTATTATAATATAATTAATACATAGTATTTAAAATTAATTATCATAACAACCTGCTGCAAGTTATAGTACACCCATTCCATGGGTTTTTGAATTGTGAGTCCGCAGATGGTGGGCAAAGGACATTTAAATTAACTGGATCATTTACTAAATATAGCCAGCCTCCGATAGAATCAAGTTTGGTCCACTGGTATGTTTTACCGCATTCGAGTTAAATATTACATTTTCTTATTGCTTCTATCGTTGGATTTAACAGCAACTGGATTTAGCAATGAGGTCTTCCATAAAACTCATATACAGCCATTCCACTTGAACATAGAGAATAATCTGAAATTTTTCTACACATAGACAACACTTTTCTTTTTATTGGAATATAGGTTCTTAAAGCATCGTCAACAGCAATGTATGCAAATTCAGATTTAATAGATATTCGTCCGGTCTGATTTCCAAGTATTTTTGTAAGTTCCACAGCAACCAAATTTTCATTAAAAATGGCCCTGCTGTGGAAGTTAGGTTTTGAGATTAAAACTTCAGCTCCATATCTACCCTCCCATTTTGTCACAAGTTTAATGTCTACGTGTTTACGCACGTTCTCCATTATATTCGTACACTTTAACATGGCAGTTGAATTCACTCCACACATTTTGCGTATGTACATAATCATTATCTAAAATATTAGAATTATTCAAAGTGCTATAAAATTTTTCTTTTGGCGGTAATTGAGTTTCGTCGAGTTTTTCCTTCGAGTCAATGTACTCATAGGGGAAAACTTCTTTTCGCGTTAACAATTGAAATTTGTCTTCGCTGTAGTTAAAAAAACCGAATTAGCAATTTTATATTCATTGAGATAGGACGCTAACTTGTCCAATGATGATGCCATGAATTTAAAGGAATCAATGAATCGAAATTTGATTAAACTATTTTTAATATTTTTTGTAAAGCTGATATACTTTTCTTTGTTTATATGAAGTAGATCAAGTCTACCTTTAAGCTCAATAGCAATAGCTTTAATAATGAAATGCGCGTCATAACCACTAAGGTTATGAAAAACAACAGGTATGGTCGGTGATTCATGGTAATTAACATTGCAATTTTGATGTCCGGAACCTCGGTACATCCGTGTTAGATGGTTGTGGTCTCTTACTTTTACTTCCCCTTGCACGATTTTCTTTTGACAAATATGACAAGTATTATCATTTTTAAAATTAATTAATTCTTGTGGGGCAAATGTTTGCATGGATTTAAAATTCTTTAAAATGAGCTCTGCTTTATCAGTTAAATTTTTTAACTCTTTTGAAAACCATTTAGCAGAATCTTCTTCATCTTTTAGGGATGCTTTATATGTGGACAATGAGTCATCAAAGCTACACTTTAAATAATATCCAATACTAAGCGTTTTATGATTTTGCAGAACCTCAGTATTGCATGCTTCATGTAATGCCTCCGCATGAATCAAAAGACTCTCACAATCAGCATAAATGATAAAAGGCACATGCTCCTTATTTTGATAATTCTTAAACTCAACAGTATTTTTACCTGTTTGCGGTAATCTGATCCTTGTATCATTTAATTTTCTGCATGTTTCCTTGTGTTCTGTAAGCTGCAATTCGTCTCTAAAATAATGAGGACAACGATCACAAATAAACTTTTAATTTTTCTTCATGGACAGCTGTGATCCAACCAATTTGGACAGATCTTTTATCTAGACATAGTGGTAGTTAAAAGATATGATTGGTAGATCATCTTTCTCTTCTGCGCTGAGACTTTCATCAATGTAATGATCTTCAATGCGTAAAAGATTAATATGATCTACTCTCTTTAGTGATGTAAGATATAGAGGATATACACTGAAATTTTCTTTCTTTTTCGACAAACCATAGACATTAACTGAAATGTTAATGTTTTGAGACTCAAATTTTGAAATATCTTTGAGTGCAACAGGAAACTCAATTCCTAAAAAATTAAGTTTACCTTCAAAAGGCTTATACGTTGAAACTCGTTCCGCGTTCTTTTCAACTTGATGTAAAGCAGATAAAATTGCTCATTTAAAGCATTGGTTATCACTATTTTGAATATTAACACAAGCATGCTTTTTATTAATAGAAGATGGTAAATTGATGTAGGAACTTGCGCGCATAGGGTTAAATTTGTTGATGTTAACCTTTTACCTATGAATTGAATCAAGTTTCCAGATAGAGTCCTTCTCCTGGAATTCTTCAATTCTTTTCAAAGTTATTTGTTTAACATTAACATTGTACCAGTCATCTAACGGGGTTGTTAATAAAATTTCATCCGTTTTCGCCATAAAAGTTTTTTAGTCAGATTGTTCTTCTTTACCATTAATTAAATCTTTTTTAAATTTTGCACCCAACACAGTATACACTTTTAAAGGACCATACTTGTTCAAAGCTTTTTCAATATTTAATTTAAATAAAGCGTAGGCATCATCAAAGAACTCGTTAATATCCTTGTAATCTTAATTTATAATAGCACTGGTTTGCAAACGATTATCGAATGCTTTATCAAAATCCACCCATTTCATTCTAGCATTAGTCACTTGCACACCCGCACCGCGTTTTATTAAAGCATCAAAATGACAAAGCAAGTATTCTAATTTTTAATCTAAATTCAAACATCTAGATCTTTTGGAAGTAGTTAAATCTGTTCTTCGCAAAAAATTTCTAAATATATTTTTTTACCTTTGATACTTATTTTGCCTTTCGAATGCGGTAATGAGCTTCTCATCAATCGCCATTGACATTGTAATAATGAGCTTCAGCTTCGTGGATTTATTGAAGTTTTCAGATTGCTGACAAATTTCAATAATTTCATCAATCTCGATTCGTTCTCGAGACTTTTTCACCACCTTACATTTAGGCATCTTGAAAGATAAATCTAAAAAAATACGAAAAATAGAAAAGAAACCCACCACTCCCTGAAAAGAAAAAAAACTAAAATGAAAACCAAAATACCCACCACCTGAAAAGCAAAAAAAACCTAAAACTTAAACCAAAATACTCTCTACCGAAAAAATCTAAAACTACATCTAAAATATCGATGCGGTGAGAGACGGTACTCTGCATATGAACCCGGCTCGGGAAGCGGGATAGATGCAGCCATCCCTCACGATGTTTTTTTCCATACAGATTGAGATAAATACATATTCTATTATATACAATAAAATATAAAAACGTAAGTTAACTTTAAATTAGGTTAAAACAAGTTGTAAATTCAGATGTTCATTACATGAACATTGTGCTTCCTCTTTAGGATCAGCAAAAAAATTTGCTTCCTCGTGGAGAAAGCATTAACATTGAAATAAACATACAAAAATAATATAATAATATAAACATTTAAGTACCTATACATTTGAGTTAAATTTAAAGAATTAATGGAAGTTAAAAAATCAAAAATTCATATTTTAACCGAAATTTCTAAATATTCATGAAAAATACTATATAATTTATAATTATTTACAATTATATCCATTCGTTTTAATGCAAGGAACACAATTATTTTATATTTAAACTTAAATTTAAATAAATACAAAATTTTTCAGCTAAAATGTTTATTTTCTATTTTTTAACTTTCATTAATTTATTAAATTTACTTCAAATGTAAATTGTAAATATATCAATCAATTCGTTTTCATGTAAGAAATATAATTATTTCATCTATAAACTTAAATTTAAATAATCACAAAATTTTATAGCCAAAATGTTAACTTTTGATTTTTTAACTTTCATTAATTCTTTAAATTTAAATTAAAACTATACTTTATATATACCGATCGATTTGTTTTGACGTAAGAAATACGATTTTATTATATATAACCTTAAATTTTTCTATTTAAAAATTTTTTCGATTAAAAAAAATTTTTGAAAAAAGACGATCAAATTTTTTTTTTGGGTATTTTTTAAAATCCTTTGGTCAGATTTGAGATATTAATATGATAAATAAGCCTACCAAATTTTATCTAAATCGATTAAAACCTGTTAAAGTTATCTTCTAAACAAAAAAGGGATCCACACACACATATACATACACACATACATACATCCGGTTAATTGATCAGGATCTCATATAACATGTTTCTATATAGAGAAAATTTTGTTTCCGACACTTTAAAAATTTTTATAAACGAAAGAACTACAAAGCTTCCTCTAGGAGGAAGCAAAATAATTTGCGTCATCTATAGGAGGCAACCGGTACTAACTCAGTCGGTAATGAAGAACACTTAGCAACTTTAAAATAAATTTTAAAAAATTTAAATTTCCCTCCAAGCGGGTTTAAATTGGCCGGTGGCGCCATCTAGAGGTGGCAGCCGGTACTAGCGTGGTTGGTAAAGTATAACACCCAGACATTTGAAAATTTTTTTAAATTCAAATTTCCCGTCAAGCGGGAATGAATTGGCCGGTGGCGCCACCGGTATCGGTGTTTTTGTCGGTAAAGAAGATTCCTATATTGCCGACCTCTGTCGGTACGTGAGTCAGAACCCGCCTTGTAACACTACTTTCTATTCTTTATGAATGCTTACACATATGTATGTACACACACTCATACATATAATGTATACATATGTGTGATGCCTAGTTGTCATATTTTCTATCCTAAATTTTATAATAATGAAAATGAAAAATTGTTATATCTCTCGATGTAACAATTGTAACGCGCACTTGTCCGATTTTATTTATTATTAATTTTATATGTTATATACTTAATTTATAATTTATTTATTTACAGAGGTTACTAGTATGCAATCCAGTACTTCGGATTTCAGCAGAAGAAGCCATGCTACACTCTTATTTTAATGACTTAAGTCCTACAATTAAGAATGATAGATACTAATATTTGCAATAATAAAAATTCAGTATTATTTCTTGGTAAGAATTTTGTATTAAATAAAAACATATTTTTTGTTCTGTTTGTTTATCAATATAATAAAATCTTAATAAATATATTAGAATCCAAGTTTGTCAATTTATTCTAGGTTTAAATTGCAGTTCATGTACATATTACCTGAAGTTTCTCGCAGGCGAATGTGGAATACTGAATTAACATTCCGTCTGTTTCTTTTTTACTTTCTATACAAAACTACGCCAATAATATACACTACCGTCGGAAGTTGACGGTACGATTAACGTGCGAGGAGTGGAAATTCATCACTTTTTGCCGCCTCGCTGCTGGCTTGTAGAAAAACATGCTCGAACATTTTTTAACAAATTTCAGGAACTACAAAACATTTTTTAAGTTTCAAAAAAGAAAATTAAAGCTGAGATCTTAAAGATTAGGTTGTAAAATTGTCGAATTTTTCCATACATTATTCTAGATTATGACGGAAGTCAATACCATTAGTATGAAAGTGCGAAAATTGCATAATTTTTCTTGAAATCTTTTCGGTGTTATAAATACCAAAAAAAAGAAAAAAATTTCTTGATATACACTCAGAAGCAGAATTTCATCAGCTTTTCAACCATCTAAGTTAAAAACCTCTAACTTTTTTCTAACTTAAAATATCTTGCTTTAAAGTCCGCACCGAATTTCCACTCCTCGCATGTTAATCGTACCGACAATTTACGACGGTAGTGTATGATATCAGAGTTTTGTGATTTTTTTACGTTATAACGAGATTCGAGTACATATTAGATCTCAACAGTAGTTGTTTAAGACTCAAATTCAATTTTGTTTTACCACACAAAAAGACAAATTATTTCATAATTTAATAAAAGATTGTTTAAACTTTAACGTACAATTAACCCCTCTTAATTGTTACAAAAGAAAACCCAACGTGATAATTGTTAGACGCCAGCCAATTTTTAAATGGAATTGGCAAACCAGAAAAATCACGAAATAACCCCAAAACTCAAAATCAATCAAATTAAATCTCAGAGGAGATTCTGTCGAGAACGAAAGTCGCAAAAAGGGACACGACCCTTGAGACACGACACAACAAAATTGGACTTACCCACGTCGACAAATTCACAAAAAGACACTCTGATGATCCTTCCAAACTCCTTGAATCCAACAAGTCGACCAAAACCCCGCTGTTGTGATGACTCGAAAAGGACAGGAATCTCTTTGGGATCTGCTCCAAATAAAAGAAAACACCCACACTCACTTTTTACTATTTCCTTTATTTAATCTACACACTGTGTCACACGACACTTTTCTCAAAAAAACAACGACCAAAATCTCTCGACACACGCTATAGACTCTACACGCTCTCAGTGTATCTCTCCCATTGATTTCCACTTCGATCGCCTTCGTCTCCGTCTCGTTCCATAAGTGGCCGCCGTGATGGCGCCACCTCCCGGACTCCTGCGTTGTCTCTGCTCCAAATCCCCAAACGCGCGAAACCCAACCCCAGTCAAAAATTGCCTTGTGACGAATTACTTCGTCACAATATCTAATTTTAATAATTACCTCTTCTAATAATGCCTAACTATGTTGATATTAATTTAATAAAAGAAACCAGAACAATGGAACATTGCAAATGTTATGTGTGCTTAACCCGTGATTTTGGACGAAGCATTTTCTTGATGTATGGTCAACCCTTAAAACAGTGGCGTTTCCACTTTTTTTCGTCGTTTTCATGCAACCTAAAGTTGCTTCAGTCCTACCGTGTAAATGTACACATTTTCAACTTTCAAAAAATAAAAAAAAATTCTTAATTTAAAAAAAACGGGTCAAATTTTGAAGTTTTTGAAAAAAAATTTGCACTATTCGAAAAAGCCGGCAAAAACCTTTCGAAAACATTTAGGTTAAAGATTTTTTCATCTTTCTGTTTAAAAGTTATAACTCTTCAAAATTTCACAGGATGTGTATACTGTGAGAGAGAAAGAGAGAGAGCCTTTGTTAAAGAGGATTAACTCTGAGGACACAGGTAATAATTTCTCTCTCCCTTCATCACGTAAAAAAGATACAGAGAAAATCTAAAACTAAAGAGATAAATCGACCATAGTGAAAAAATACACGTGGAGTTTCGGTGATAATTTTAAATTTTAATCTCGATTTTAATCAAAGTATTGATTACTCGTGTAGTTGAATCATTTCTGGAATTTCGCCTCCGGTTTTATATATGTGGCACTCCATGTGAAGTAATCGAGGTCGAAATTTGAAATGTTTGAGATCAGGTTAAAAGTTTACACAATTTGTAGTCTTATTAGACACAAATGCGAAATATGATTAATTTATTTAAACAAATGTAAAAACCCAGTAAAAAAAAAGAATTGGGAGTAAGCGATAAGATTTAGTGGTAACTTAAGCTGAATTCGGTTTGGCGAAAAAACCGAATTGGAATGTTACGGTGAATTATTTTTTTCTTACCGTAATTTCTTTTTTCTTAAACATTTGAATTGACGTTTGTTTATTCGAGTTTGCATTATAAATGAATAAAAAAAATGCTTCGAAGTCTAAAAAAGCCGATTTGGAATATGAAATATATAATTAAAAAAAAATAAATGAAAGCGAAGTGAGACAGATTCACCGACGATTTTATCAAGTGAGTAGTGTTCATATGATAAATTTACCATATGAGTAGTACTCACATGGTAAAATTGTCGGTAAATCTTTCACTTTTCACTTTTATTTCTTTTTAAAAAATTATATATTTCTTATTCCAAATCGGCTTTTTTAGACTTCGAAACATTTATTCTTATTCATTTATAATGCAAACTCGAATAAACAAACGTCAATTCAAATGTTTAAGAGAAAAGAATTCACGGTAAGAAAAAAATAATTCACCGTAACGTTCCAATTCGGTTTTTTCGCCAAACCGCATTCAGCTTAAGTTACTACCAATTCTTTTTGCTTACTCCTAATTCTTTTTTTTTACTGGGAACTAGAGGAGGGCAAAGTTTGGACTTTTTGTCTCGCATGGTATATTTAAAAAATTTATAATTCCTATATAACAAAATGAAAAAAATGTTTGCAATATATGAATTTTGTAGATTTTTTTAGGCACTTTTTAATGATGATAACAATTTTAAAAAATAAAAAAATTTGACCTTGCAAAATGCAAATAAAAAAAATTGCATTTTTCTATAAAATAGACATTTCGAATTTTTTTTATTTATTTTTTTTCATAAAGCTCAAGTTTTTCCCTAAAAAAATATATAGGTCAAAAAGTAAAACAAGCAGATTTACTTGTCAAATTAAGCATTTACTTCTGCAGTCCGCCATCCATGTGCGTCGTAAAGCTGTAGTATGCTTACATTAAGTATTATGTATTACATAGTTCTTTAAAACTTTATTAATGATAATTTTTTAACGCTCTGCATTTATAAAAAATTTACAATCTTGCGTCTTAACAATTTTTAAACATTCAAAATTTTAATTTTTTCTATATTCATTTAGAACTTAACTTATTTCGAAAGTTAAACAACAAGCGTAATGCAGACATTAAAATAATGACGGTCTCAACCCTGTAAAATGCAGAGAGCGTTAAAAAATTATTATTAATAAAGTTTTAAAGAACTATGTAATACATAATACTTAATGTAAGTATACTACAGCTTTACGACGCGCATAGATAGCGTACTGCAGAAGTAAATGCTTAATTTGACAAGTAAAATCTGCTTGTCCTACTTTTTGACCTATACATATTTTTAGGAAAAAACTTGAGCTTTATGAAAAAAATAAAAAATATCCATTTTATAGAAAAATTCAATTTTATTTTTATTTTTCAAGGTCAACATTTTTTTATTTTTTAAAATTGTTTTCATTATTAAAAAGTGCGTAAAAAGAGCTACAAAATTCATATATTGCAAACATTTTTTCGTTTTATTTTATAGGTAATATAATTTTTTTAAATATACCATGCCACACAAAAAATCCAAACTTTGACCCGTTCTAGTTTTTACATTTGTTTAAATAAATTAATAATATTTGGTATTTGTATGATATATGACTTAAGTCAAGTCTTACAAATAGAAACAAGAAAAATTTCATTTCGAAAATACAACTTTAATTTAAACATTAACAATTTATTATGAATAGTGTTTGTGTAATTTGTGTAAATATATATTTAATTCCTTTAAAAAGAACAGTTCCAATAAAGGCAACTATTTAAAGTGTGACGGGTTTTCTTTTATTAATTTTAATTTAATTAATAAATATCGGATATTAATAAATTATCCGTAGATAATTTATTATTCGTTCATTTATTAATTAATAATGAATTAATATATTTTTTTGTTCGTTTATTAAATAAATAATGAACACAAGTTATTCGTAAATAGTTATTATTATTTATTTATAAAATTGAGTGTTAATGGCACGTTCGAACACCGTAGTGTTAGATACGTGTTACTTTACAAAAGTGAAAATTTACACTAATGGTTCTGGGCCTTGGCAGAAGTAAGGTCCCTTAGGATGTCTTTACGGTGCGTGGGAGGGATTGTCCAGAGGATGGTGAGTGGGGGAAGAAAAGGTAGAATTGACGTGGATTTCGTTACACCCCCCAACTTAGATTGACGTTAGTCCCTAAGGTCGAAACCTTATAGATTGAGGTTTGATTTTTAGATGTTCATCTAGTGGTGTTGGTGCCGTAGGGGCACTTGTATACTGTACATTTGGTGTATTGTTTACATTTGTTTTGACGCAGAATAAATTAATTCATAGGTTCGTAGGAAGTAATTTAGCAAATAGTTTACAAACTCCCGATTTATAAAGTGAGTAAATTGTTAAAATGACTAATGATGTATATCCTAAATATTGTAATATATCTGTGCTTTTTTCCACCCATGTTTTGGTTCTACGAATATTTTTTATACTTTGAATCGAAGCTTCCATCGTGTCTATACTACGTTTTAGAGAATTAAATTTTTCTCTATGTAATGATTCTTGTATTACGGGTAGTTGAGAGCTTAATAAATTTAAGTCGCTTTGACTAATTGCAAAAGAGATATTTTTTTTGAACTTGATATCGGAGTTATGTTCGATTGATTTACGTAATTTTAATATTGATTTTG